ATCACCTGTTCCTCTTGTCTATGTCATTCACACCATTTACCCGGAACATGAGAAAACTCTGCACCGTAGTTACAGCGCCTACACTCGCAGCCAGGTGGATCTGTCCCACCGTGCAGTATCTGGTGAGGTATCTGGCACTTTGGGGCTATCACCACTAACACACCCACAGCCCAGGCAGGCTGCCCACTGGGGAGTAGAGGAGCTGCCAGGCTCCAGGCCTCTATTCCTGGATCAAAAGATCTTCCTCATACTCGGGCCAAGTGGCTGGCCTGTCCTGCCCACCTCCCCCGCCGCCCCCACCTCCTCCCAGAACAACTATGAAATAAAGCCAGCCAAGTCTCTCCACCCCACCACAGGAGCATCCATGGAGTCTGTGGTTCAGTGTACAGTCAACTGCCCCCTCTGTCGCCTGGCAAAGCGGTTAAGTCAGGTGAGCGGGTGCCTGTCTCAAGCTTTCCAACCCGGAAGGTTCCCAGTTCTTCACCTGCCAATTACGGATTTCATCCCCTAGCCGCTGAACTCCAGTGCACTCTGTTAAATGAAAGCATGCACACCTCAAGGCTCCTCCCAGCAAAGAAGGAAGGGATTGGCTGCTGCCTACCTCCTTTCCTTATCGCCTAGCTCACCACAATTTTGGGCACACAGACTCCAGTGACAGGACCCTAGCCAATCCTACAACCTGTGCTCATGAAAAGCCCTGTCAATCGCACCTCCCCCAGCAGACCTGCATAGCCAAACACGCAAGCATGCTGGGTGATGATTCAGGTCCTTTGCCACACTGCAGTTCACTCTCGCCTGCTCCAAAAGCTAAGTGATTCCAAGTTCCCAGTGCAGACGGCAGTTCAAAATGACATTTGTTATTTACTGTTCCAGAATAAACCAACTCTTGGGAGATGGAAACAGGAAATCAGGGGTTTAAGCTTGTCCTTCGCTACATAGGAGTTCGAGGTCAGCCTGGGATACATGATATCTGAACAAACACACACACAAAACAGAAACAAACACTAGAATAAAATTATATTGGGAAAGGAAATAAGGAAATATTGATTGGCTGGAGTGACAGCCTGTTCCAGGACAAAGAGAAGCCCTGTCTCGAAAAAAAGAAAGAAAAAAAAAAAAATGAAGATCTTTTCTTTCTCAGATAACTTTGTGTAAAGTATGCTAAAATCTGTAATAATAGCTATGAAGAGGCAGATACAAGCAAAAGACCAATGCAAGTTTGAAGCAGTCTAGTCTCCATATCAGTGTCTCGTGAAAGTGAAAACAGAAAAATAATTTAAAATATGACTGTTTTAAATAGGAATTTGTTTCTGTTTTTTTTGTTTGTTTGTTTGTTTGTTTTGTTTTGAGCTGAGTTTCTTTGCAGACCAGGGTGGCCTCAAGCTCAAATACACACCTGCTTCTGCATCCCAAGTAGGAATTTGTATTAATGAGCCAGCTGCTCCTAGCTATAGCCTCTCTTTGTAGAATGTGTCACTTTCAGAAACACTTAGTGGCTATTTATTATCCTTTCAAATCTCAATAAACGTTTTGAGGTTGATGGCCAGAAAAGCAAATTACTTTTTTTTCTTTCTTTCTCTCTCTCTCTCTCCTTCATTTTTTGTTTTGTTTGGTTTTGGTTTTGCTTTTTCCAGACAGGTTTTCTCTGTGTAGCCTGGGCTGTCCTAGACTTGCTTTGTAGACCACGCTGGTTTCGAACTCACATTGATCCACCTTCCACTGCCTCCTAGAATGCTGGGGTTACAGACAAGTGTGTGCCACCACAGCCAGCTAGAAAGGTAATATTTAGCCCACCTAAATATGTACATATAGTTTGATATAAAATGAACTTTTTTACTATGATCAAAATTCATTTTATGTTGCCCTTAAAATTTTATTTTCTTCATTTTCTACTTCCATCCTTTTGATGTAAGGGTGTGCCTGATGGTGTTATGGGTGTATATACATATGGAGGCCAGAGGACAGATTTACATGTCATCCTCAGGAATGTCACCTCCTTTAACTGGCCTAAAGCTCAACAATTAGGCTAGACTGGCAGCCAGTGAGCTTCAGGGATCCTCCGGTTTCTCCTTACAGTGCTGGGGACTATAAAAGCACATCAACACATCTGTATTTTAGAGGGACGTCAAGCCCCTGCTTGCAAAGCATTGACTGAGCCACCCCTTCAGGACTACTTCTATTGTGTGTATGTGGGGGTGCGGGTTAAGGATGTTGACACTGTGTATTCTTCAACAATTTAATTCCTCTTCTGCAATATAAGTGTCTGTGTTTAGAATCACCAGCTCGTGTGTGTTTCTTTTTGTGTCAGCCTATGTCTGTCTTTTTATGTCATCCTAATTTGTCTACATTATCTATGGTCTGACACATTATCAGAGTAATTCTTCTCTTTTCTGGAGACAATTTCTGAATAAGTCCTTATATATTAAAATATTTAAAAACACACACACAAAACATGTGGTCAACCATCCAATATTCTTTCTAGAACTCCCTCGACCAAGTAGTTATTCAGTGTAATCAGGTAAAAAAAAAAAAAATCTCAAGGAGAAGTTGATTTCTTTTGAATGCCTTGTGGCTTCTAGTGATGTCTAGTCCAGCTAGACTATGGACCTAGAAGCCCTAGGTAATCTGAACAAAGCCCTCAAAACCTAAGCTGGTTAAACTCAAGCACCTGTTCAGACATGACTCATATCCTATTCTAAACTCAGGAAGAGTAAGACTCAAGAAAGCAAAGAAACAATATACTGAGCACCCACGTTCTGTTTCTGAATTCCTGTCCATCCAACTGCTAGATGAGAGGCTTTCTAGGATCTGCCCTCTGCAGGATAAAAATAGGAAATGCAAACATCCATTGTCCACCAATTCTAGCCAGAAAGCTACAATCACTAACTTCCCATTAATCAGTGATTAAACAAACAGTATAAAATATAAGATCATTCTGGGCATGTTGGCAAATGTCTTTAATTCCAACACTCAGGGAGGCAAAGGTAGGAGGATCTCTGTGAGTTCAAGGCCAGCCTGCTCTACAGAAAGACTTCCAGGACAGCCAGAGACACACTGAAAAACCCTATCTCAAAAAACAAACAAACAAAAAAAGACCTGATACCATAAATATATAACAGTAAGTGATATAGTATAAACTATAATTACTAAGCACTGTAAGAGGTTACACAAAATTGATGCTAAAAGTTTAAATGCTCAAGGAATTCACTCGTTCAGGTTCTTCTCAGTACCCAGTAACTGCCAGATGGTTTTATAGGTCCTGAAACTTAGCTGAGAGCAACAAACAAGTCACTGCATACAGGAGGGTTCTAATGTGGTGGGATGATTTTGCTCAAAAAGCACACATGGGGGTGATGAAAATATCAGGAAATGTAAGCACAATGAACAGCATACATGAGCACTCATAGCACACAAGCTAGTAGGGACAGTTTTAGACAGAGTGGTCCAGAATGACTTCTGGGAAGTGCCAAATATTGAAAAGCAAGAAACAGCTCTACAAGCAAGGAAAAGCATTCCAAAAGAACCCATTGCAAATATCCTGGTGAAAGATGAATTTGCTGCTTGTGATTTGTTTTGATTACTCTTGTGGTTATTCTGTTTTAATTTAGTTGCTGTTGTTATTTTTCTGAGGCAGCAACTCATGTAGTCCAGGGTGGCCTTGAGCTCCTAAACCCCCTACTCCTACAAACTTGACTTGGTTTGCTTCTTAAGTATGGGGAATGGGAGCCAGAGTGGCTAGGTGCAGAAACCAGGAGGACATGTAATGCTAGGATATAGGGCTGTTAAGACAATGGTAAAATATCACAGAATCCTGTAACTGTGTAATCTACAGCAGTTTTTTTTTTGACATCTCTGACACTTTCAATACTGTAACTGCACATCACAACAGTACTTACATGGCAAATACTATATCTGCCACCTACAACGGGTTATCAGTATTATGTACTTAAGGCACATTGAGATATACAGAGTTCAGAGCACAAGCACACAGCAAAAGAGATCCATACTATTACTCATGGTCATAGTGATAAAACTGTGTAAATGGAGACTCTTCAGACGACTGGGGGGATCTTGCTGGAGTGTCACTAGAACTCAACAAGACAGGTAGATTTCATATAGAAAGAAGAGATGACATTCCAACAAGTTTGGATGTGATTTAGTCAATCTAATAAAGTACGTGAGGTGAAGGACAAAAGTCAAGTGCAGGGCTAGAGAGATGACGCCTCTCATTTTGAGCATTTATTTTTCAGAAGACTCAAAGGGCAGCTAACAATCCTCTGTAACTTCAGCTCCAGGAGGAATCCAGTGCCCTCTTATGGCCTCTGGAAGAATTGTATGCATGTGGTGTATAGTCCTTCATTAGGCAGAACACCCATATATGTACAAGAAATAAATCAAAAAAAAAAAATCAAACAAAAACGAAAAGTAGGCAAAGACCTAGTCAAGGCCTACAGCACAAGACTAGACCATGACAACAAAACAAAACATTTTAAAATATATATTTACCAAGATGTATGGTTCTGACTGATGTTGTATTTTAAGGAATCAGAGGCAGATGGCTCTGGGTTTTCTGACTTCTTTTATATCCCTGAACAAATATTTATATTTATTAAGAAGCAGTAGAGCCATGCTGCTGTGTTTCTCATTAGTTTGTTTCACGTGATCATCCACAGAGTACCATATTGTAGGGGGAGTTAAATATATGACTGTAAGGATACAGTATGGACACTATTTCCACAATGAAGTGGGTATCCATAGTGTTGGATACACTATCCACTTTGATAGAACATTTCCTCTGTATAGCCTTGGCTGGATGGCAACTCACTATGTAGCCTTAGGCCCCTCAACCTAAGAGATACATTTCTACCTGTGAGTTCTCGGGTTACATGACTGTGATACCATATCTAATTAAAGAAGAGTCTGAAGAATTAACAGTTGAAGATTAATTTTTATTTGTAAAAATACAATCATTTTACTCAATAGGGGATGATTAAATGGGACAGGCATTACAGACAGAATATAGCCTTAGCAAACTAGCAAGTCAATAAAATCATCAAATGAAATAACAAATGAATAACAAAACCTCAAACCAAAGAACACAAAAAACCAAAACCAAAAAAATCTAAACCCAAAATTCAAACAATAAATTAAGCTAAGCAACATTCTCTTGCTTGAGATTTAGCAGCATGCACATGAAGTCAGTTGATATTGGATTTTTTTTTTTTTTTGAGGAGCCCTGGATCATAGAGGAAAAAATGTTGTGTTCAACTTCTCTGTGGCTTTCTTTCTTTCTTTCTTTCTTTCTTTCTTTCTTTCTTTCTTTCTTTCTTTCTTTCTTTCTTTCTCCTCAGTTCTATCAAGGGAGCTGTCAGAGAAGAAAGAAAGACAATCAATCAAACCCAGAGGCACCCCATGCTAGGCCTGAGGAAAGACAAAATCAAGGCCAGTTTAAACATAGGAAACAAAGTCAAGGAAGAAAAACCAACCCAGGATTGCCAGAGTTGCTGAGGATGGGATGGGATGGTCGCTCAATTGCCTGGGAAAACTCAGTTGTCTGGCTGCAGAAGCTCTGTCTGTGGGGAGCTCTCTTTCTGGGCTGTGGCTCTTTCCAGGTCAGACTGGAGTATTTCAGACCTACGGAAGGAAGGAAGGAACAGAAGCCTAGTGAAGGCAAACCATGTCAGCTGTTGACTCTACACAAGCTCTATTCAGCTGGACAGTACAGGATGACCTTTCAGCTGAGGTCTTTCCCTTTCCCTGCATTTCCCAAAAAAAAAAAAAAAAAAAAAAAAAAGGTCAGAGAGTACATGTGCCTGGATATTTTTTTTTTCTCACATTTTTAAAAACTTCGGGAAGATGAACTGAAACCTACACACTGCATTGAAATAGAAAAATAACAGCACATTTCTCCAATAGTCCAGATGATTAATTAATTAACTAATTAATTAATGTCTGAGTCACACTTCAGAAAAGATGTGAGCAACCTAGTTACCTATGTAGAGTCTCTTTTCAGGGCCTACTCACTGCAGTGAAGGCCTTGAGTTTTCCAACAGTGCAGAAACCTGCCTATGTAACCTTGTCAAACAAGTGCCCTGTTTATAATCAAATAAATCATCTCACAGGAATGTCCTGTCACTGCAGGGAGCCTGGATTCAGTAGGAGTATGCTATGTGAAAATGCGCCCAAGTGTAGGAACTTATCTCTAAAGGTGATGTTCCTGAAGGAAAATAACAGGTCAAGAGTCACACTGTCTTTTACAAGGGATACTCCCCTTGCTAGGTTTAGTACTAAGAGGATTTGTGGGGAAACCAAGGGACAAGGTACTCAGATCATACTACAGAGGCTAGAAAAGAGGAGGGGGTGCACCATCCCCAGAAACACTAAGGAACACATGTTGTTTCCTGGACAGAAGTTGTCGGTGACTGGACCAGCTAATACTTAGAAGTGTTCTTTCAGAGACCAGCTAACCATGGCTGTGGCTGAGAGCCATGCAGATGGCCAGAAACCTAACAGAACAAGACACACAGGCACAGGGTACCCACTTGGCTCCACCCTCCACTCGATCCCTGGGTTCCTACCTCATCTCAATGACATCAGTGTGATGCTGCATCTTTTCTGCCAAGTCCCTTTCCAGAGTTGGCAGCATTTTCGGCTCCAGTAGGTACTTAATTCTTTTCTCTATTGCTTTTAGTTCCTGTTTTTTTTAGAAGATTGTATTCAGAGGTGCTGTGAACATGATTGTGCAAAAGCACCTTTGCACATTGACACACACACACACACACACACACACAAACTCCTGAGCACACAGAAATACATGTGTTCTCACATACAACTATACTGCATTGCAGTAACTTAATAATTTTACCAGTAATGTAAGAGATCACCAGGTATCTAATGTAAGAGATCACCAGGGATCCTATATAGAACAATGTTAACTTTCTGTAGAAGGGATAAGAAATTAGTGGACATGGGATATAGACAGTTCAGTGGATAAAGTACTTTTCCTAAACCTTCTGTGTAGACATGTGGACCCACTGGGTCTTGGCCACTTAGCCAAGCCTACATAGCAAGTTCCCAAGGCTTGCAATATTGTTTTTTCCCCAGCCCGAGACCTGGGGATCCTGGTGAACCAGCTCCTTATTCTGTCCCAATTGTTCCCAGTTGTTCTAAGGTGAGCAGCTTCCTACTAATGGAGCTCCCTTATTCATAGCCTGCATTGCTTTGAACCCAAACAGTGAGCCTATGAAATGAGAAAATCTCCACAACTAAGACATAAAAAAATGTTCTCCCTCTAGGATGACACGATCGGAGATCTTTTTGAGTAATAGAAGGCTGATTAACTCCAGGCCAAATGATCTTGAGTGTCTTTATTTCATGATGAACAATATTTCCATGAAGGGTGGATGATATGGTACACTTATAAGCTAATGGACACCTGGAAAGTTTCAACTTGTGGCTGCTATGAAGAAGACTGTTACAACCCTGATGCCTTCTGTTTTATCTGTGGACACCTACTTCTAGTTCTGGAATTGCTGGGTCACCTTGTGACTGCAGTTCAGGATGTTGAAATATTATTCATGGCCTTTGACAGGACTACCTTATTTTACACCACCAGCAATGTCTGGGGTCCTCACTTCTCCCCACCCTCTTAAGGATCATTTTGGATTATATTTGAGTGATTTAGAATAAAAGCAGTTACTCAGTGCTGTAGACATGGCACAGGATGAATGCTTTAGACTTTCATGAGGTTAAGGGGGCTGCACTGACACAGCCCTGTACACAAACTTCAGCATTGCTATGGGATTTCTGCTGAACTGAGAAGCAACCATTCAAAATCTCTCAATGCATAAAATCCAGGCCAAGCTCCAAGGCCTTTGTTTACTGAGCCAAGGTTAGGTGAAGGAGGAAAGAAAATGGTTGCTGGCAATGATGACAACAAAACAGGATGCAGGGAAGACACAGAAAGCCACCCCACTGTCCCGTGGACAGTCACTATTCATCAAGAGCAGAAAAAGCACACAGACCCTTAGCCAGCCTTTCCAGACTCTCAAGCACCTTGTTTTGTATAGCAGCCTCCTCCGCACCTCCTTGTAGGATTTCTTTGAAGATATGTATTCTTGCCTCTACAAAGTCTATGACTTACAGCAGCTTTTGTGTCCTTTGTTCTAAGCAAAAGTTGGGAATGCAGAAAGATGGGCAGCAGCATGTGAGGTTTGATGTCTGAAAAGTCAGTCAACCTGACATTTTCTCATTAAAGCTGGTCTCTTTCATCATTTAAGATGTTTCAAGAGCAAATCAACATATGTTTATGCAGAAACACACACACAAATTCACACATAAAAACACACACTGACACTCACACATACACTTTCACATACAAGCACCCAACACAAACACCTACACAAGCACTCACCTCTACACATACATGCAACATAGTACCAAGGACTGACCCACACCTGAGCACATGCAAACACACACAACATAGATAGGGACAGTAATGTGCAAATAAGGTTCAGCACACATGCGTAAGTACACAAACTATTAACACACATACATAAAAACACACACATATGCTGACTCACAATCACACATTCACATAGATGACACCAAAGCCTAGCTAAGTCTAAGAGCCTTGTATACAGCAGGCAGGTCCTAGTAACTCATTATGCAGCAGAAAAAGTGTTTTAACAGCAGTTCTCTTCATGGTGTGTGTGTTTGTGTGTGTGTGTGTGTTTGTGTCTCTCTGTGTGTTCATGAATGTGTGTGCATGTGTTGTGTTTCTGTGTGTGGTGAATTGGTGGTCATCTATGTG